CGATGATGCAAGATTAGGTTTGCTATAACAATCAAGTACATTACTAACTTTTCGTTTATAAGTAGGATTTCAAGGTTATCAGTAAATCTTTTATATGGGTTGTTACAGCAAATATAGCTTTAATTAATCGACAATCCTACCAAAGTATGTGATGTGTGAAAATGATTGGACTTTCTTGAAATTCACATCTGCTCTGTGAACCAAGGGCATTCATGGCAATGTGGCAATGGCTGTACTGCCATTGTTCGATTCCCGCTGGAGGTGTTGATAAGGCCTAGGAGAGTTCCAAGCTATCGTCAACCCTGGATGGGAACTACCTTTGGGAGAGGAAAGCTATGTGCAGTTTTACTTATATCATTGTAGGAAAATTCACATCTCATATAACTGAGATGTATTCACCATATTTCATCTAAGGTTATGGGAAGACTGGTGGTTGAATTTTCCCACAATGCTATTATTAGACCTTCGTTTTTATCGAATTTCATATAGTCCTGATTTCTAAAAAGATATGAATAGTGAAATTCAACTGAGACGTAAGGTTTATTCATATCGTTGTGGGAAAATTCAAATACTTATCCCTTTATCACCCTATACGATATAGAATAAATACGCCTAATGCAATGGGGTCGACAATTAGATGGTGCTATTCTGACTAACCAATTATGTAGGCACGTAATTACAAATTTTATTAAAATTATAAATTGATCTCCTGGATTCATATCTGCAATTTTGTCCGTTTCGCTTACCACAAGCTATCTATTTACCGCTTAAACTGTCCGTCTCTCTTTGTGTAGGTTTGTGTGTGTATGTAGTTGCTTTTCTGTTTTAATTAATTAAATTGTTTGACTTAATTCATTATGAATTCACCAGGCCTTGATATTTCAGCTTTCCCTCTATGATACGTAGAATATGCATCCATCGATTACTTTTTTGCTCGTTACCTTCCCTTAAATAAATTGTGGTTTGGCTTAAATCACAGCATTGTGTTTTCTTTCTGTCTGCTTCGTAATTGTTTGTCGGTTGCATGAGTTTGCGTCTCAGCTCTTCTCTTATCCTGTTCTGCATTCCATCCACCCCGCATTCAACAAATAGGTCACACAATTCTTACCTTGTTCTCCAGACCCCTTTGGAATTGTCCTTTTGTTTTAAATCGACTCTGGATGTAGATTTGGTGCAGGCTACTTTGAGTGTCCTTAACCTTTGCTCAGGTATGTATTCTCTCATTTCATCTTCTCACCAAATATCACATAAAAGAACTGTAAATCTGATCAGATGAACACTTCGTTCGCCAACGCCTATGTACTCGACTTTTTGAGCTCATCCTACCACACACGGAGTATGCTTATTGTTTATAGTTTTTTCCGTATCCAAGCGGGATTCCTTTATTTGCCTCATCAATTATGGAAGGATTCTGAAGCTGGAATGGGGTTGCCTCCGCCTGCCGGAATATGATTAGCCATGCTCGGATTTGTGAAGTTGGTTCTTTTCAGTTGTACATTCAAAGGTGCTTCGAATGGCACCGGTTCTTAGCCACCAGCTTTTCGCCTGTTGCCATTCGAAGTGCCTGTTTCGGACATGCCGCAAGCAACAGAGGCACAATGCGCCCAAGGTCAAAGTTGATCAGAGTCCTCTGCTCTTGCAAGACTACACTTTACCCGAGACCAATTCAGCTGACCAGATTTCTTCTCAATCTGCGCCATCGTCTGCCGGCGTAGCGCATTCCCAGTCACACCCTTTGCATTCAATTCTCTACCGGCAACACTCGCCACTGTGGAAGTCGGCCCAAGACAGGCACGTGGCAACCAGTCTTTCGCGGTGTCCTCATTTGACAATCTTGAAACGATATTCTCGCGCTGCCCTTCATTCCACCAAATTGTCCCCTTCGCGACCGGTTGAAATAGTGGAATTAGAATCATCTTCTCATGTACCCATCACTTCCGCTCAGTCCTCCACACAGTCTAGTGACCCATGCATAATTCACAAATTTGTCCCACCCCTTTTTTGCCCCCAAGCTGTGCCCCTGCCTGGCTCAGATTGTTCCTACACCCTCGACAACCTCACTCATTTTCACTCTTCTCTCTCCTCTGCATCCCAACGGACACTCTCATCACCCGCTGACTGCCCATCTGCGTCTTCGTCATCTCCTTGTCTACGCTCAAATGACCCGCTTCAGTCTCGCCTGCACCGATTTACCACTCAACTCGACCAAGTGACTAGAAAGTTGGACCGCATTGAGGTGGCCTGGGCTCGAACGCTCCGATCACTCGACGACCACTTCCTGTTGGATCCTGATGCCCTGCAATGCAAACCGCAACGAGAGACCAGCACTAGTGCCCTCAGGCATGATGACGCCTTCTATCCTTATCTTCGTCTGGTTGATGCGATCTGCTATCAGCGAGAACGGGCCCTTACGAGACTCGGACGAGTTGCCATACGCCTGAGAGAATCGCGAACCTGGATACGCCAACTTCTCGAGTTGATCAAGAAAATTAACAGGTACAAACGTGTACAATTTGGCCAAGTTGTCGGTCTGCATGCCACCCTATTGGTCTGTCTGATACTTTGTTCGCCATCCGATCAACTTGTA